TTTAGTGAGAAAATCAGAATGAGAATCTGCGCAAGAGCGGGAAATAAGCTGGGTCTTGATCTACTCAATAGGATTGCCTTCATTCTGAAATAAATTAGGCTGAGTGCTCCAGGATTGAAAAAACATCTTGTACCGAACACCATCAGGGAGGATTATAAGTTTATTGAGTTTAGAGCAAACATCAAAACCTATAACCATATCTTTGCCAGGTAGATCGGAACCAAGAACTTTATGAAAAGTGAAACAGCTTGGGAAAATTTGGATTTTAATGGGTTTGCTGATTAGATGAGTAGTGAAAGTCTCACTATTAGCCGTGTAGAAGACCTCCTGATGAGGTTTCCACTGAGAGGATGGGAGGATCTTAGGGTTGATAATGGTACGAGTAGCACCTATATAAAAAAATGCTATGACTGAAATGGGCTTGGAGTATTTGGTGGGGAAGATCTGAACTTTTGCTGTAGGTATGTGACATGAGAAGGCTAATGATGGAAGGGATTGTGGTGCCTATTGGATATGGTAGAAATAGTGGCAATCATCTGAATTAGAGGACTTAGTATCAGTGGCTGCAAACTGGAAAATAGTGTATGAAGTGGGTTCTTCATCCATGGAAAACCAACTTTCAACATCACCATCAGAAAAATCTATATCGGTGAGCTGAGAAAGTTGTTGCATCATTTTAACTGACTGCTTGAGCTTGTTTGGACAATTTTTTGCAAAATGACCTGGGCTGTTGCACAAATAACATCGATTAGACCGTTTGCCTTTGCGTTTCCTTTTCTAAAGAAACTTGCGGTGCTTGAAACATTGAAATCTACGTCTAGCCGGAGCATTAGGTGGAGAAAACTTGATGCGTCTAGAATGAAACTTCTTCTTGGTAGGACAAGAACATGAGCGATCTGATTTGCATTTGATCTGTAAGTCTGGTCTTTGACAAACCTTTGTCAGCTTTTTAGAACGCTTCATATAATTATCAAAAAATTTTTTTTTAGAATAGAGCTTTTCTAGAGCAAGAATAACAAACTAATAAATTTCGCCAAGAGAAGTGGATCCAAGTTGTTTGTTCTGGGACTGCATAAGCTTGGTTGCTTAATGACTTAAGGATTCAAGAATAGATGCCAAAAAGGCTTGCTTCATGTTAGGATTATCCATATCCCTAAGTATATGATATCGTTTTACCATCTCTTTGTAATGCCTGTCAAGATCTTTCTTTTTTAGAGAACAGCATCGCATCTTGAAATATTCTTCTTTGACCTGGTTCTCATAAAGGTGAGGTAATCCACAGAATTCATCATACAGAAGATACAGAGTTTGTTAATATCTGGCATTTGGATGAACAAATTTTGTCTATACTCCTAAAGACTTATCCACCAATCACGAAGAATGCCACCAAATCTAGCTGTAAACTGTGTAAGTACAATAGAGACTTGGGCATTAGGTTTTAGCATCTCAGCTTGTAACCAGGCCCGAAATTCATACATCCAAGTTCTCCATTTGTGTGGATGAAGATCATCGACGGTAAAAGTGTGGAGCTTTGTTGAAGCTGTATAAGAGTCACGTTCAGCCGGAGTATGATGAGATTGTCGATACATAGGCGGAAAGTTTGGAATGGAATCATCTCCTTCAGGCATCTCATCACCGACCTCAGAAACAACAGGTGGTCTTGACGATTCAGGTTGATGGGTCATCAGTTGGGGATAAACATTAGGATGTTGATCAGAAGTATTACTGTCAGAGTCAAAGTCACTTTCAAATGATTCATCAGTCGAAGGTATATCAGCTTCTGATTCTATGTGAGAGGTAGATAGAGAATCCTGAGAAAGACCCAAAGCGGCAAGACGTTGCCTTTCTGCCATGTCTCTTAAAAAAGAGCTCATAAAATTGGAAGAGACGGGATTTTCTGAAGAGTCAGGATTAGCAGAAGGTTGGTGGTCTTCCATCATCATTATGTGCATTAGAGCCTTATCCTTAGATAAAGACGATGAGGCCTAGGAGATGGAGGATCTGAATGAGTGGAAGAGAAAGAGTCTGGAATATCAGCTAATGGAGTCTGCTGTCTAGCAGAATACTTTTCTCGCTTCTTTTGTTCTCATTCCAGCTTGATCTTTTCATCACGTTCTTTACGGAGCTTGGCATATAACTGTTCAGTGTTGCCAAAAGCTTGAACAACACCTGAAGGTATATGAGGTGAGACCAAAGGTTAGCTAATTTTTGGGAAAGGGGAAAAAGAGGGTTGTGGCCATGCTGTTGTGGAGTCAAAAGGGTTTGGTATCAATGACATTTCAGGGAAAGTCTGTGGTTGTCTGAGTTTTTGCTTAAGATATTGTTGTTGAAGCGATGCCATTTGGGTTTTTAATGACTTCATTTCTGCTTCCTTCTGGAGAAACTGAGCTGAATAGCCATGAGAGTTGCTGACAATGTGCATCAATTCCTGATGGAACTGATCAATCTGGTTTTGGAGATGATCAATTTGTTTTGTAGCCAAGAAATTAGCATAGTTTGGTTTTGAGACTGAGAGTCCACCTGATGAGCTACTAAATCCAGTTTTTGTTCAAGTCTGGTAATGGTTTTGTTTTGGGCTAAAGCATTTTCAGTCTGTCAATTGAGAACTGCTTCAACTTGGGAGAGTTTGGGTGTGGATCCATCAGGCCTATAATTTTGGAATGAACCACTTTTGGTTGTTGAGTGGCAATTTCTTGAAGGGAAGGAAATTCTGTGTCATAATTGAAATGATGTCCTATCTTTGTGGGCTCGGGGGTTGGATCATCATAACGGACTAAATAGGTGGAGTATGAGCAAGGGGTGAATGGGTTGGTTTATTTTCTTTGGCAATCCACCTGAGGGACTGTTGATAACATGGTAAAGGCTGTTTGAAGTAAGGTGATTTAGTAGGTTTGGATAGTTGTAAAGGTGATTTAGGTTGAGGTTTCGAAGGGATGTCCCGTGAGGGATTATTGGATGGTAAATCTTTTCTGGCTGGTGGAGAATATTTGACATAATAGTCAAATTTGCCAGACGGTTGACCAAGAAGACCAACTTCAGGATCATGGTCTTCAAATCGGGAATGAAGATATGTCTAACTGTAGCGAGCTTTCTCCTTTTTCTGGTTGAAATAGTTTCATCTTGGAAGATAATGCTCATCGATTTCCCAAATAGGATCATCACGGCATTCCGAGCATTGGCAGTCAAGATCAAATGGAGTGTGACCAGTGACTGGATCATATTGATGATAAACAGGAGCACCAGATTGTTGAAAAGAATGAATGGAAAGTCCAGGTTTCCGTACTACTGTAGTGGGTATGACCGGAGTAATCATGAATTGAGTTTGTCGAAAATTCAAAGGTGGAGCACTGGGAGTTACTGGAGACTTAAATCTGATAGTTGTTGTTCCGTCACAGTTATCATGCATGGTAGATTCTGTAGAAACCACCAGAGTTTCTTTTTTGTTAAGAGACTCGTAATTCGTCACCCAAGAGTCGGGTAACAATTTAATCAAATCATCTCTGAAAATTTTTCTGGGAATATTGATGCAGTGAGGAGAATTCTGAGAGTCAATAGTAAGGAGCAGTGCATCAGTAGTTGTAGGGATAGCGAGATCAAGAGCATGGTCTTGGATTCGCTAAACTATTTGATAATGCAAAGTAGTTGCAATACTTTTTGGATTTAAATCTGCCCCAACGATCTGTAATTGAACTTTAAGAGCCTTTGAGCAATGAACATCAGAGAGGGACATGTTGAAATTAGAAAACAGTGTCATAATGACTGTCCCAACATTCAAAGTTGTCTGTGCTGTCCCTATACAAGCATGTTGATATTGGACAAATCTGGTGTCCAATAAAGCAGTTCGAACAGATACTGGGAGTCCTTTTCTGCCATGATATGATAGGGCGAGTCGGATAGCGCCAAAGTGTACATGAGAGTATCCTTCATGGATCCATTGAGTAATGGATTCTTGAGGGATTTCTAAAGTAACATATTGTTCTTGGGTTGTGATTGGAATTTGACACTTGTCAAAAGTACTAGTCTGGACATACTCTTTGACTGACTTTCTGGAAGGTCTAACAAGAGTTTTAAAGGTTTTAGACAAAGAAGACGAGGACTTGGAAAAGGTTGTATAAGGATTTACAATGGGAGGAATAGTATCTTGGATTTTTTTATTTTCTAGGATATAAGATATTTCATACAAACTGTCTACCTTAGAAGAAGATCTTTAAGAATAAAAATCGTTTAAGAGTTAGTTTCAATCGAAAAAACTAATGCCAGTGGAACCTATGGGCCCTAAGTTTGGCCCAAACCTCACGGATTTAAATTGATTTACCTATTAAATTGGACATGTACCATCCAGTACGCTATAGTTTACAAAATTCCAACTAGTCCTTGTGTTATCCGAATTATCTAACTACCTCTCCAGCCATTAGTTTTTTCCGTTAAAACTACTTTTTGACCTGTTTTGACTTATGAAATGACCAAATTATCTTAAAATAAGTTACTATGAAATTAAGAAAAACATCTAAATTTTTCGAAAAAAATTAATTTAATATTAAATATTCAATAAATTTTCCTAAAACATAAGAAAATTTTAAAACAATTAAGCAAGCAAAAAAATAATAATAATAAAATTAAATTCTTCTAAATGGGTAGTTTTTTTTTTTTCCAAATTTTTTTTACGATTTTTTAGTACTTTTAAGATTTTTCTTGGAAAATTTTAGTACTTTTTTTTAAATGATAAACTTATTTTTAAGGTCAATAATGGCCAAAATGGGTCAAAAATTAGTTTTAACGGTAAAAATTAACGGCAGGAGAAGTAGTTGGATATTTCGGATAGGTTTAAAACTACAGGGATAATACGGGGAGTTTTATTAAACGTGAAAAACTGTTCATAGCCAAGACTGAAGACGCGTTTTATAATACCTCCACGAACTTTATCATCACAACTTGAAGCATTCTATGATACTTCCACGAACTTTAACATCAACACTTAAAGCATCCTATGGGACCTCCGCGAACTTTGCTTTCTCATTGTCATGAATCAAAATCACTCTGTATATGTGTAGTCTTCCATTATTGAAATGATTGCAAGAAACGAAGGCTTTGCAAGTTGTAACTGTAAGTCTTCGATACTTCTGTATTTCTTGGGAGGAAATATTGCGAAATCTCCATTGCTTCTTCTTCAGCAATAACGTAATTGCTGATTTTTCTGATTATTTTCTTCATTCTCATTTTTCTCGGAAATCTGTTGTGTTGTTTGTGTTTATGGTTGAGCTGAACAAATCAGCCAACAGATTCTGATATTGACGAATTCATCAGAGCATCCAATAATCTTAGTAGCTGTACTAGTTTTGAGGTTTTCGATCCTGATAGATTAGCAGTAAAAAGTACTCTCATCAAGCGAAGCTGTGATTACTACTTCATTGATCAGCAGCCGTATCCAAAAAGATTGAAGTGATACCGTTTGATTGCTTAAACCTCATGAACAAATAATTCTTGGACTCGCTATGGTTTTTGTGGGTGCTTGTTCCATATTACTTCTTGTATTTGTTTTTTGGAAAATGAATCCAGAGTATCAAAATATTTTTATGTACAATTCTGAAACATACGGGGTCCAACTGTAATTTTAAAGGGTGATATATACATTTTCTCTTGAAATTCTTGATTTAACTAATTGATTTCGCCATTTTTTCTTCAGCAGTTTCCAAATTCAACAAACAGAGGTTCTTCAAGTCGCCAGAACAAGTATGTTTTTGTTTATTTTATTTTTGTAATTAATCTGTTTTCTTCGGCAGTTTGTGCTTTGTTCGTGCATAATATATATGAGAATGCTATTGTTGAAGGGCGAAACCAAGAATTTCTATTTGGGGAGAGCTGCAAAATTGTTTTAAAATAATTATCTAATTATATTTATTCGATTTGAATAAACCTCAATAATTTGGTTCAAGAAATATTATATTAATAACAAGATAGATTATCGGAATGTTTAGAAAAATGTGTTTAGTTGATTCGAATAAATTGGTGGATATGTTATATAAATTACTAAATTGCCCTCCTTTTTTTAATATTAATATTATATTATTTTTTGAATAATTCTTTTAACCCCTTACATTTCAGATTTTGCTAAAATACCCCAATAATAAAAAAGTTTAAAATTTAACAAAAATACCCCTATTCACCCTAAGCCACTATCGGCGGTCTACCACCACCGCTGTAGGCGACGATAGTGGAGATCTAGCCATGAAATGACGGCCGTCTCAAGACCAAATATCTGGCCTTTCACGGCCACAGATCTAGCCGTGAAAGGCCAGATCTGGCTATTTACAGCTATGATCTGTGATCCATAGCTAGAAATAGCCTTAGCGGCGCACAGCCAGCCAGATAAGGCTGGCCGTGAGCTATTTCGTCGCCGTCAGCGGTGGTTGCCGACAATTGGCAGTGGTGGCTAGATTCGACCACCACCCTTTGGTAATTTTTTTAAATTCTAAGGGTATTTAAGTCCTAAAAACTTTGTATATAAAGATAATATAGTCAATTGGTATTTTTATAAATTGTTTTTAAAACAAGGGCATTATTATCCTAAAATTTTATTAGTAAGGAGTAAAATTATAACAAAAATGAGATTATCGAATAATCTTAAAATAAAGCTAATATAATTAGTTTGCATATTACCAACAGTAACTACTATTGGTATTAAAAGATTATTAGAATCTTATATTACTTGACAACCAAACATAATAATCAAGTAATATAAAATGATATTACCTCAATAATCTCATATAACCCTCAACCAAACAGCGTTACCTTTCAAAATGTTTGACAACTAGAAGCAAGGATACAAAGAATTTTGACGTCAATAATATAAAGAATTTAGATACTATAAATCAAAACTGGAAGCAAGGATACAAGACTCTCTTCGGAGTAGTGGTCCTGATCGGCTTAATTTGAAGATGGAGTGATAATTAAAATAAAACAGAAAGGCATTCTATGATACCTCCACGAACTTTACTTTTTCATTATCATAAATCAAAATCACTCTGTATATGTTCAGTCTTCTAGAGTTAATTATTGAAATATCATAACAAGTTTTCGCCATCTGTGATTGCAAGAAACGAAGGCTCTTCATGTTGTAAGTGTTGAATACTTTTGTATTTCTTGAGGGGAAATAATGCGAAATCTCCATTGCTTTTTCTTCATCAATAACGCAATTCTAAAAAGTTCTTCAACTTTTAAATTTTCTGTTCTGCAGGTTTGGTTTAATGACTTAATCTGTCTCCAATAGTTTTGTAATGGCTTCCACAGTATGCAAAGCAAAATAGCATCTGGATGGAAATATGATGTGTTCTTGAGTTTCAGAGGAGAAGATACGCGCAAAAACTTCACTGGTCATTTGTATTCTGCGTTGGATCAGAAAGGAATATTCACCTTCAAAGATAACCACAGACTTGAAAGAGGAAAGGTAATATCGTCAGAACTCTTTAAAGCAATTGAAGAATCTAGGTTTGCACTCGTTGTTTTTTCAGAAAATTATGTTTCTTCGACATGGTGCTTGGATGAATTAGCGAAGATTTTGGAATGCATGAAAGCAATGGGTCAGATAGTTTTGCCAGTTTTCTACAATGTCACTCCATCCGAAGTTAGAAAACAGTCAGGAAGCTTTGAGAAAGCTTTTCGGGATCACGAAAAGAATTTCAGGGAAGATTTGGAAAAGGTGCAAAGTTGGAGGGTTGCCATGACAAAGATTGCTAATATCTCTGGATGGCATTTGGGGGATAGGTAACACCAATACTCGTTTCAAAATAGATAGCCAGTGCAGAGATCTTTTTCTCACTGTTCTGATGGCTTGAAGGAAAGCTTCTCAAACTAATTAATCGCATACAAATGCGTCTATCTGTTAGCTAATTCATGAATAGAGAGCAAGGCTAGAGTTGGGAAAGTAACCCGTCCAGCCCAACCCGACTTGGCTCACGACGGGTTACTGCTTTTGGCGGGTTGGTCCTAACCCGCCCGCCAACAAAGGCAGGCCGGGTTAGGCCCGCCATTTTTGGGGGAATGCCTGGCCCAACCCTGCCCGCCAACCCTAACCTGCCGGGTTAGGCTACGGGTCGGGCCGTGTTAACCCCCCTTTTTTTTAAAAAAAATTTTTGATTTTGTTTTATTTAGTTAACTTTTCAAATAAATAATTAACGATTTATAAATGAATAAATGTAATTGTTTTTAATTAACTTTTCAAATATCAATAATTCAATTAAATTAATTTTTTTTATTAACATTTCAAATATTAATTCAATTTTAATACAATAAAATTGTAATATAAGAAAATTAGATTTATTCATTCAATTGATGAAACTTTAGCATAAGAATGAATTATATTTTATACAAGACATGGAAATTTGAGAATAAGACTTCAGTATTTAATTTTTTTATATTTTACATACCATAAAAAATAATAATAACAATGTGTCAAATATTACGAAATTTTATACATTTTAATATTTATGATTTAGAAGTATAGTTTAATATTATTGTGTAAAATTATTTGTAAGAGTTTAATTAAAAGAATTAAAAAAATGAGAGAAACTTGAAAAAACTAATTAATTTTCTTTTTAATTTTTTTTTGTCAACCTGGTGGATTGGCTATTGCAAACAAATAGCAACTCATCGGGTTGACGGGTTGCCATATAGCAACCAGGCCCGCCCGGGGATTGCTGGCGGGTTGAACCCTCTTCATTGCGGGCCGGGTTAAGGTTGACCTACCTAACCCGACCCATTTATTCCACCTCTAAGCAAGGCTAATTTCAAGGGCATCTAAACTAAAACAATTATACATATTTGGAAATGTACCTGTTAAGTAAATTCGAAAATAGTATTTTTATACTGTTGGTTTTTACTTTATGCTGTTAGTTTCTCGCTCACGTTACTTGGATTGTTAGTAGTTCATTTCAACTTATTTTGATTCAATAGTTTGACATCTATTGGAATTGATATTCAATTCCAATTAAAAGAAAATTATATACTCTCTCCATTTCTCTTTAAAAGTCGTTTTAAGTCATTACATGTTTTTTAATAAATTAATTTTTTAATGTAATTTTTTTTTTCTTTGCTCCTTTCTTGAAAGTGCATGGGAAATGGCAATGATGAGCGATGAAAAATAAATAGCTTTAAAGAGAAAGAGAAAGAGAGAGAGAGAGGAGATAAGGGGTGAGGGAAAGAGAGAGAGAAGACAGAGGCATACTTCGAGAAAGAGAGAGAGGGTTGCATTTGGCCAAACGATATTTATTTTGGAAAAAATTTACAGAACTAAAATGACTTTTTGAGAAAGAGAAAGAGGGTTGCATTTGGTTAAACGATATTTATTTTGAAAAAAATTTAGAAGGTTAAAACGACTTTTAAAGAGAAACGAGGGAGTATTGGCTTAAGTATTTTTTTGCCTATTTGTAGCTCATGCTAACTTTCCACATGTTTGATTTTTTCTTCCTTCATTTGTAGGGAAGAATCAAAATTTATTCAAGGCATTGTTGACGAAATATCAAATAAATTGAGTTCTACGTTTTTAAACACAAATGGCAATCTGGTCGGAATGGAGTCACGAATGAAGCAAATGGGGTCCATTACTAGGTATAGGTTTGAATGATGTTCGAATGTTAGGGATTTGTGGAATGGGTGGAATAGGTAAGACAACTCTTGCAAGATCTGTTTTTGACAAGATCTGTGATCAATTTGATGGGAGTAGCTTTCTTGCCGATATTAGAGAAGTTTCTATAACACGAGGTCTGGTCCGTCTGCAGAAACAGCTTATTTCTGAAATCTTCACAGGAAGAAACATAAACATATGCAATGTTCACAACGGATCTAAAGAGATAATGAGAAGGTTACGCCATCAAAGGGTTCTTGTCATACTTGACGATGTAGATCAAATAGAACAATTAAAAGCATTAGCTGGAATGCATGATTGGTTTGGGTTGGGAAGTAGAATCATCATTACAACCAGAAATCGACATTTGCTTGTTAGCCATGGCGTGGATAATGTGCATATGGTCAATGGGTTAAATCCTGGGGAAGCTCTTAAGTTGTTTTGTTGGAAAGCCTTTAGAAATTGTCATCCTACTAATGATTATTTGGAGCTTTCTCAGCAAATGGTCGATTATGCTGATGGCCTTCCATTGGCCCTGGAAGTTCTGGGATCCTTCTTGTTTGGTAGAAGTAAAGCTGAGTGGAAAGGTGCATTGGATAGATTGAAAGAAGTTCCTGACGAAAGAATTTTTGAAATACTTAAAATAAGCTATGATGGACTACAAGAACTGGAGAAGAAAATATTTCTAGATGTTGCTTGTTTCTTTGAAGGAAGGGACAAAGATGAAGTAAGACAAATACTGGACAGTTGTGATTTTTACCCAGATATTGGAATTAGTTTTCTAATTGATAGATGTATCATTTCTCTTTCAATCAACAAATTGCGTATGCATGACTTAATGAAATGTATGTGTAGGGAAATTGTTCGCCAACAGGGTCCCACAAAACCAGGCCAACGTAGTAGGTTATGGCTCTCTGATGATGTTTATCGTGTATTGACAAAAAATGAGGTATGCGATTTTGAAGAAACCATAAACTTAAAACCGTATCATATCAATTTTACATGTAGTATATAGACAATGTCAGATAATAGTATTGAAGTTTATTATCTCCACCTGATTGCATCATTATGCTCTTTCTTCTTCAGGGGACAGAGGCTGTTGAAGGCATAATTCTGGACTTTCCTGCATACGAAGAGTTAAAATTGAATGTATGGTGATAATAAGCTTCGTAGCTTGGTTGTTACTACTAGATTTCGTCAGTGCGAGTGTCTGCAAAAAGCTATATTAATGGAACGTCTAAAAGCATTTGCTAATTACTAGTTGTGTCTTAGGAGTCTCAGAGCTAATAAACATAAAAACCACTAATACTTTTTCTGTATACTGGGGTTTTTATCTCTTTTGCACAGGTTCTTACTCATCGCTTTTTGTGGCGTCGGATCGACACCCACCTTGCAGTAATGTTAGAGAGATCATGTCCATCTAAGTGCATCTCGCCAATGCTTAAAGTTCTTGATCTAATGGGACCTCAAAACTAGACCAACTTGCCCAGATGCTCCAGAAGACTTGGACTAGCATGGCAAGTTTGAAAAATCTTGATTTAGGTGGAACTGTCTAATTAACCAACCACCATCTCTATTGTGCATTACAAAAACTCGAACATGATCTTTCGTCATGGATCCTGCACAAAGGAACTTTAAGTACCTCGCAAAGTCCAGGAGTTATCTCTTACTCAGTTTTCCATTGGTTCTCTAGAGACGCAATCAGAGTCCGGTGGCATTGACGCGTTCGTTTGTCTTTATCTGGTTTTGTCTCGATTAAGGACCGCTTGGATCTAGGCTGATTGCCACATCTCACAACGAAGTGTGCAATTCCCTCTGAGATGGATTTACCACTTTAATACAATTGATTCTGAGACAGGAATAAAATTGTTCAGTGTGTACGTTCCAAAGCCACATATCCTTCCTAAGCTTAACCCCAAACCCCTTATACTTTTACACAATATTGCGATACGGTCTTCATAGCTTGCAGCTATGTCCAGGTCAAGTACAGATTTGCAGCTATTGCTCGAATTGCAATCCCTTTTTGGAAAAATCTCCATCAAGTCCATTACTAATAGATTCGATCAATATCACGATTGTATTTTGTTTTACTAATTGCATCCCCAACTATGCGGCGAAGTAGAGAACCAACCATACTCTGTGCACAGTCACTTTTTAAAACTGGCTCCATCGCTCGTGTAATAATCGTCAAAGGTCAGGTATGGTTACTATACAGTTTATTTTTATTTATGACTTCAGATTTAGTTTTGATATCTCTAATATAACCATTATTTTAACTTAATTGTAAAATCATATGAAAATCAATTAGTAAATGGTAGCTATTGCCTATACATGATGACATTGACTATGACGTAGAAAACAATTTGATGAAAACCATATCTGGTAATGCCCTCTTCTTTATTCACCAGAGACTTAATTTGTGGGTTACACGTTTTGAACATCTCAAAACACGGTTCTTTGTTCACCTGGATTCATTAACGAAGGTCACTAGATGCTATTAGATGTGAGCGGCCTGTGACTAGTTTGTTGATGCACGTCGTTAACACATACATGATCAACATGTATAAAACTTGATTGTAACGTACAAGGGTGGGCATCCTACTCAAGCACTGTGATCGGTTTCCAAGACACCCTGATACAAAGGATTCCTAGTCTCCATGTCAGTCCTCCAAAATTCCTTGGTGGGACAGATCACCTCTGGTTGTTCTCATTTCTAGAAGTATCCACCAGCAGATATATTTTATCTAAGTGTGGTTTCTTTGGATACCGATGAAAACGATGAAGGTAAAGGAATGTGGGCTCTCGTCCAGTATATGATTCTGATTGAAGAACTCATCGCGACTCCAATAATCTTAGCACACATACTAGTCTGAGGTTTTGATCCAGATTAGCAGTCAAGTACTGTCATCAAGCGAAGCGTGTGATTGCTGCCCTGATCAGCAGCCGTATCCAGAAAAGATTGAGTGCTACTGTTTAGTGCTTAAACCTCATGAACAAATAACTCTTGGAATAAACTCTTCCCTCCTTCCTGCTGCCTTTTCCTCACCTTGTGAGCTGATGTTTATGTATGTGCTTGGCATTTTTGTATTTGTTCCGTATCATGTGTTACTTGTTTTGTATTTTGTTTACTGATATCCCAAATTAAATCCAGCAAATACAATTGTCTGTAAAATTAGTTTTCTTTTTAGCCTCTTTCCTTATAGTTCCCCCACTATTTCTTCCCCATCCCTCTTTATTTTAGAACTCTGCTCCCCTAACCGTCCTTCTGTCTTGATTCCCTTCCCTGCCTCTAGTCACACCCCACTCCCCGCAGAAGTCATGCCCTCCCCCCTTTTCCCACTTACTCTAAACTATCAACACAAGTCAGATCCCTCCTTCCTACCTCAACTGTCGATCATCCGCCTTCTTGTGTGGGCTGGCAAGAGCCATGTGCGCACGATCACGCGGGGTGTCGATCGGCGCTTCAACTGAACAACTATGCCAGGCGAGGTCAACTCTTCCTTCGACACACCAGCATATGGGCGCGCCACCTTCTCGTCGCACTCAGCCGGCCACTGGCCCCCGTCTCTTAAGCCTGTCGAATTCATTTTAACACTCTAATGCTGCGACAACTTGGTCAATTCTGCTGGCTTAGTTACGAGCAATGAATGGACACGATGCATAGGGATCCCGTCACTCGACTAAATTCTATTGCGTAGATGTAGTTAGCTAGAAGAATCATGGCAACAAATAAAAAAATATTGTGTGAGATGCATCAGCATATGGCACTTATTCACGAACTTTTTTTCCCCTTACTGTTACTTATTGTGTGGAATTTATGTGGTAACTCTTCAATATACAAATCAAATGAATAATGCTTTTCCAGTAAGATTGTGCTTTATTTAACGACACCAGTATGATCAATAAGTCGTTTATCTAGCATTGCATTTCCAGGTAAAAGTCTCACGACTGAAATGCTTCAGTCATATTCTTTGTAAAAATATTGAAAGGTTAAGGTTTGTCTCGATTAATAATAATGTTCTTTCAATTTTGAGAGATCATTCTTTCATCTGTCAGCTTACTATTGACATTGATTTACTTAAAATACTCTTTAAAGCGATGGCTTTTATTGTTATATGTTATTTTTGTGCAAATTTGGGAGAAGATAATGACCGGTCCCGATCAACGGAGGTAAGCAATAATATCTTTGTTTAGATTTGTCCGATTTAAAAATTGTGAGAGTTAGGAGTTTTCCGTTTTAGATTAAAACTATATTGGGTAAAAGGACATACTTGCCCTTTATTGTTAAGTTCAACTATTGGAAACTGAAATTGGGTGGAACGTTGATGGGTTTTTCAAAGTGAGGGTATCAGCTTGTATTCTGGCTGAACCTGGGTGGGGACATTAATGCAGCCCAAATAAAAACAGAAAAACCCTTACACGTGTAATAGAAAGATGTTCCATCAAAAACAGTCCTTTTCTGGCTACATTTAATGCAGTCCAAAAAAAAACAAAGAAAAACCCTTGCATCGTGTAATAGAAAGATATTTCATCAAAGACAGTCCTTTTTTGGTCAATCAGAGAGTCACCAACCCCAACTAAACACACCACCAGATCATCGTTCGTTGGGTTGCTTTGAGTTCCGCGTTTGTTCGTATGGCTTTGCGTGCGCTCGTATGTCATTACGCGAACATTCAAAGCCCACTTGTCGAACCCACCAACTGTAGAACACTCTGTTTAGTAGTCTCTTATACCCCTCCCGGTCCCGACGAAGTATCATCCTTTACAGCGCCATCCACTGTCCTCCACGCTCCCCTTATCGCCACCATGCGACCTCAATCCAGGATAGGCTTTCCTCTCATAAACTCCCACACCTTGCTCACTCTCCGAGCCTACACACATGGTCATACTCACTCCATCACCAACCCAAGTTATCATGCCAACAACTCTAAAATGGCCCACCAAACACAGCTTCTTGCCATACCCATCCGATCCAACAGTCCCCCCCTATTGCCGCAATCGTACGTTGTCGATAGGCCCACAATTAATCGCATAGAACTATGATAAATGCCAGGTCACAAATGTTGACACATGAGATTTCAGTTGCACGTTGAATGGTTGATATGGAACACGTGTTTGCCTAAGTTCAAGTTTGGCCACGTCTGCGCCGTGTGCCTAAGATGCTGCACGGTGAATGCGAATATATGACTGCAGAGACTGAATCATGGAGTGAGAGAATGCGAACAAAACAAAAGTGATTTGGTCCTTGTTATATGTGTCTCTACTTGCCGTTCACAAGAGAGTCCGTATCTGCTCCAGAGGAGAAGATCAAAGTATATTGAATCATGGGAGAGTGGACTATTCCAGCTAAAGAAGCATTTTAGGCAAAAAAAAAAAAAAGTTCATATTAACGAGATTTTATGAATAAAACATATAGATATATGAACGAGATTTCATGAATCGACATAGAATAAGTATTAAAATACAAAAAATAAGATGATATCTAGATTCTAATGGGAATCATCAATACTCAGTTAAAATCGAAAATCGTGTAATTGAACTAATTCCAGATAATAGGTAATAATGGACACTTCTATTACTGGTGTTACACCTCTCACTCACTGTCGTTAGATAGTAAATATTTATTCAGTGTTTTTCCAACATTAGCCAAAGAACAAATTGAAACTATGCAAGTTTTGATGTTGTGCTTTGAAGGTACTGTGAGCATTGAGGCAACACGCCTAAACTAGGACGATGTGTTTGTTGTCAATTTATCAATGTTTTTGAATGGGTTTATCTGACTTTTCTCCTGTAAGATTGCTAATATTAACCTCATTTGTTCTTTCGAAAGTATTAAAAACCCTTTGTAATTATAAAACCTCTCTACCATCAAACTCCTCTACAAAATAATATAAAAAAAACCCACATTGACAAAATTAAATCAACGAAACTCAAAAAAAACCAGGCTAAGGAGTCATTTTCGAATAAGCCTTGTTAACCCACTGAGAAGTTGGATGAGTGATGATTTTATTTGAAAAGGGACATAAGTATTGTGGTGTGGTTTATGTTGATTTTTAGTGTAACTGGTGTCAAACAAAGCTTTGTGTACTGTTTACAAGTTAATGCGGTGAGATGTATTGCTGCATTTACTAAGAATAGCAGTTTCAATATGATGGAAGGGTTTTCATTGTAGATGTTGGCCTGTAATCTGGACTTTTATCAGTACGTTAATTTAATAGTAGAGTTAGAGTAAATCAAATCTTCTCTCGTCCACATTCTGATCAATAGATTTACCGTTTTACATTCCAAGTTGAGCTAAACACAAAGATCGAATAACCGTTTCTTCACCACCCTATCTTTGCCTTAACAAATTGTCACACCCTTAGTTTAGAATATAAACCTTACACCCAATATTCAACGCGCGTACACGGTGTGTTCTCGTCATTTCCTATCCTAATAGATAACATAAATCAACCATACACATATCCTAATCAAAA